TTTTTGTTTCGTGAATATTGTAGGTGCTCCTATTCCTTTGACCCAGACGGAACTACGAGCCGTCATGAAAGCGTCTCAGCAGACACAGGAACATCTGTTTAGACAACACTATGAGACAACTCCCGAACAAACACAGGCTCACCAACTCTTTAATAATGCCAAAAAAGGTAGGTCAACATTAATACTGTAGAGCACTGTGTCACAGACGTTCTCTATCACAGTCAGTAAAGTTTAGATTTGATGGACGTCCATTAAAAGGATGCAGGGGAAAACRAATGAGCTAGACAGGGCAGAAAAACGTCTTTTGGCCTTTCGCCATAAGGACAGCTTTACGTATTTARGCTCAATATTTTGTAAACAYGTTCTTTTGGAGCCAAATAGCAAAATATCAAATGCAACCAAACTTTAGTGAATACGTATTTGAGATATAAAGCCGTGTACTTTGGGAGAGGTGATATTTTGATCAGCAGAAAAACTATCTGACATTTTCGTGAATACTAATAAGTAGAATTACTCTAATTCGACAAAATTTCGTCACAAGTTTCGAGCAGCAGTGACACAAATGAAACGCTTAAAAATTTAAACTCAGTCAAATAAAAAATCGTGAAATTAGCTGGCTTGTCGTTTTTCTGCCCTGTCAATGAGCTAGCTATTTATTTATGGTTCCGACTCAGACAATAGTGAACCAATCAACGTTGCAGCAGTTTTCCCACGCCACTGGAATTCAAATCTTGTCCCACAAAAAGTATTTCTCTTAAAGAGTACTACAAGCATTAAGAGGCAATTTTCTTTCAGTATTTTCACAGGACACTAGAATCTGAAACMATTTACAATTCTGAAATAATTTCCGAGATATTCTAGCTAATTTGTTGAGCTTGTGGGACTTAGCAACGGTAACTAGGCAAAGTCTAAATTGGGTGGAAGTCAATCATAAAAATTGTTTGAAAAAATGAAGAAAACAAGCATGATATGCATGTCTTGTTGGGCGCGTGATTTAGAATGACTGTAAATGAAACGCGTTTAGTTCATAATCAGCTCACTGTATGGCGAAAGGGAGTGTAACAATCAAAGTGTCCTTGCTCTTATGAGTTGAATGTGTACAGTCATGACACGCGTCAGGGACACGCCTCCAGATTTATTACGCTATGTACATGACTCCTATCATAGTTCCTCTTTAATGTTGTTTTGTATTTCTTTGCTTCTCTAGCACCAAGTGCACTTTCAATAGAAGAAAACAAGCTACTAGAATCACTTGATCGTCTGAATGAAAGATTGAAGGGTAAGCTTCAAACTAATATTCGCACTTTCGCATTCCCTATAATACTGTACATCGCGTTTCGTTGGGGGAGGGGGAGGGGGAAGGTAGGATGATTATTCTTGAACATGATTCCAATAGCCTACACCTCAAACTAATACTCCTTCATGCTTCATTGTGAAGTGATATTAGCTATAGTTGTAATTATCGGACTATCTATGTGGTATAGCTAGCGCTCCATAGAAGATCACGCGGACCCAGCTGTAACTAGTTCACAAGACTGGTTTTTCAAACCCATTTATCCATCAAAAACATCTATCCCTTTTAAAGTGGAGTTAAATACCCTGTAGCACGAGAATCCCGGTGGGCTAGGGTCTTTCGATAAATCCTCTCACTGACTCTAGTAAGCATTTCTTAAGTTCTTCTTTCGTATGTGATAATATTTTTTCTTTTTTCGTTATGTAGTTCAAGAGGCCATTACAGCAAATCTGACTCCCAAGAGAACTCATTCAGCTAATCCCTCGGTAAATACGCAGTTCATTGACCTGAGTACCCTAAGTGTTAAATCCTTTATTTTGTTAGTGTGACAACCGATGAGCATTAACGCGTGACGTTAGCGCTCATCCATTCACAATACTTCGTCGCCGCAGCACAAGGAGTGCGCCACAACATCTCCGTACAAAACGTTTTTTGGCGTCAATAAAAATGTACGTTGTACCCAAGACACCTGTGGAGTAGAGGTGGGGGTGGGGGGAAGGGGGTGGTATCTATGGACTGCAAGGAAAACTATGAAATGCATTGTTGATGCTGCTTATCCTGGATTACATCTAGCAATCTTAATGTTACAGCAGTTCGTTACGTACCCGTGCTGTACACAAGTGTTGCGGAAACCGTTCTAAATGCTTTGTAACTGGCCAGTAGTCAATGACTTATATTATGTGTATCTATATTATGTGTATGAAAAGTGTTCAATGATAATAACATTGCAATTTTTTTTTTTCGTTTTGTCTTTTAGACGCATCCACGACCAACATCCAAGCAGCGAGCATCTTCCTCGACTTACAGATACAAATAGTGCAAGCTCTTGTCATACAGCAGAGTTATAAAATGCAATAATTGATCGTGGTTTTCATGGTGTAACCATAGTACATGATGACAGGCCATTGGTCAATAACGATAAACCCTATAGTAAGCGCTGGTATATTGGSTTTAGTGAATCCACTGATTCCAATAGTTGAATTGGTTTATATAAACCTGAAGAAAGCCAGACCCTTGTTTTGAGATTTAGAATGTATTTAACGTGATAAAGTTAAATGCCCTTTATTTATGTGTATTGTTGTACATGATGAAAGTACAACATGACGTGGGTGTTATATATTGAAATAATATAGGTATGTTGTTTGGTACGAAGTTTTACCAAGCGGCCTCGGACATTCCCAGCAAGCCCTGGGATGACTGTGCAAGTACATGAGAGTGAATGGAAGATTATTAAAAATGTAAAAAACGCTTTGATTATTTGGTTTTATTGTCCAGATAGGTGTCTCAGACAATTAACAAATAGACATCAGTTGGTTTTTTTTTGTGTCTGTCCTCTTATTGACGATAAATTGCGTCATCACATTTCCAAAGTAGTGTGGATTCACGAGGCGTAGCCGGGTGGATCCGCATACTACTTTGACAATGTGATGAAGAAATTTATCGTCAATAAGAGGACAGACACATAAAAAACTGATGTCTATTTGTTTTTTACAATAACAAAGACGATAAAAACTTCTCATTTTTAGCGATCAAAACAACCAACGGAAAGAGCGCGCGCCAACCAATCARCGCGCGAGAAATTTGTAAGTTATCGTAAAAATGTGAATAGACCTTTTTCAAGTTCCAAATTACTGTTGTTTTCCTTTACTCCCTTTACTCAGTGTTAGCCTAGTAAGTGTCTAAATATTCACAAATACAAACAGTAAAGTGAAGAATGCACAACTTCCGCAAAACAAACATTTTGAAATTCCACGGACCTTCACTGGAATACATAAATCAAGGCTAACTCTGAGCAACAGAGAGCTCAAGACTGGAGTATTCAAAGGCAGACATCAACAAGAGCGTTAATTATGCTTTTAAAATATTTTATTTTTTCTTTTGTTACTGTTTTCAACTGTTGTTATTTATTACTGTTACTGTCCATACTTCATATTTCTGACGTCATCGCTTACGTCACCGTCCAAACTATTGTAGTCTTACTAATTAGGGTCTATGCCTCTTTGAATATAGCTAAGAATTTCCGAATCTTTTAATAGAAAAAATTAGTGCTTGTGATCGTCGTTAGTCATCGTCATCGTCGTCGTCATCGTCATCATCTTGTCCTGTGTCTTTCTGTTTTACGGATCCCTGCAGTGTCCAGCGATCTCTGAGGACTCTGTAGAGCGTAGCGTAGTTAAATAGAAGCATGCCAATGATAGACATCAGTTGGTGCCAGTAAGAACACCTTGTGATCAGGAACAACTGGTACACGACTAGAGTGAGTAGTGCACTGGCCATCCAGTTCAGTAACCGTAATGGAGACTCGAACATGAACTAAACAAAACAAATAGGGTGTGAGAATAGAGGGGTTCAACTATATATCCGTGAAATAGYATTAACTAATCAGTACAAAAAGCACCAGTGAAACAATTGAAAACACCAGAAATACATGYGYTTAGTGCTATTACGTTTTCGTGCTATTTCACGGACATATAGTTTGCACTCTATAAGGAGAACTGACGTCATCAAAAAACTAAAAGCCAAAGTATTCATTCCGACACGAGTGAAAAACGTCTGCGCATGCTCTGAATCCGTATGTAAATTTGACTTTCAAACATGCCTAAGTAATTGGACTTCACCAAATGCCAAAACTTAGTGTCCATGCTTGAAACGTAAGGCTTAATTTTTTCATATTGTGTTTGTTAATACAGTATCTTGGTCTGACAAAAGTATACTCTCGAAMTTTTTTGTATACTCGGAGAAAACAAACATTTATTTTCTCACTCAAACTYTTCTAAATTCTTATTACAAGTCCAGAGAAAATTAGGTGAAAGTCAAGATTTTCAAAGTCCGTACAGTGGATCCAGTATTTTCCCATTTTGACCCAAAATAGAACTCTTGCGTGGAATATTTTGCCATTCCAGGCCACGTGTCATTTCCAAGAGTAATCATTTCCTCTTCTTTTTTTAACAGTTGCCAGGAAAATACAAGAAACGACTCAAACAAAGAATCTTATTCTCAAGGGAATGACACATGGTCTGAAGTGGGAAAACATTAAAGACAATCTTGCGTAGCTCCTGCCCGCCATGAAAACACGGTCATTAGTTCTATATTAAGAGGTGGAAATTAACTAGATAACTGTAAGAGAAACAGGAGAAAAGTGTCTATAAACCAAGAGGAACAACTGAGAGAATATGAAATAATGAAAACGAAAAGGGAATGATGAATGGGTAAGAGGTTAGCTGAAAAAAAGACGACCACTGAACATACAAACGTTCGCAATTTCATTTCTACTTGCGAATTTTAACCATTRCCATATTAATGGCAGCCGACAAATTCATCACTTCGGATCGAAACGGAAAAGAAAATAACTGGGATAGACAAAATGGACTACTTACAAAAAATCTAGCGTGATGAGGATCTGAAGGAACAGCTACATTATGCACTCCTAGACCACGGTATAGTACTTTGTTATATCGTACAAGTACTCCCTGAGGCCACACTGTTATTGGTGACCATCTACAACAAASAAAAAAATTAAAAGTTACTGGTTGTACAATGGATAAAATGCAATGCAATTCAATAGATTGAGCCCCCAACCCGTAAAAAAGCCACCGAACTCAGTTTTGTACAGTGTCGTACTAGTTGTACAGGTTCTCCCAGTTAGGACCTACGAGAGGAAACAAGAAGGAAACTGAGATAGGCGAGTATTTCCACAGGGAGCCCAATTTAGAT